TGTAAAGGAATTATTAATTTATTCAATGGTAATCTTAAATACCTGAGTACACCAGCATGCTCAGACCATAATAATTTCCTATAATGTACATTATGTCTCTGTGCAATTGGAATTAATAATATCATTGCAAAATTATGATCACCATAAGAAGTTGAGCAAAAATGTTCACACATTGCAGTGAATAAATCAACAAATGAATTTAATCCTGGTAGTTCTTTTGTAAAGTCTAACTTTTTGTAATACTTTTGGATTAAGTTTGACATTACTTCGTTTAATAAAATAGAAACATCATTGTTTAAATAAACTGTATCACACAAATAGGTTAGCACTAATCTACTAAATTTTAAAGTTGGAGATAATTTTGCAACTAATTCAGGTGAAACGATTTCTAAACATAATATCACTAAGATATTCTTTTTATCTTTTTCTGTGCTAGTTTCATTATTTCTACACTTTGTATAAATGTGTACCAAAGGTAAATAAAGCCAATCTTTAGGCATTGCTGCTTGACTCCAATCTGAATTTGATATAACATATTTTTCATACAAATTTGCTATTTCATATTTCATTTGATTATCAGCATTATTTAAATTTAATTGTGATAATTGATCTATTATTAATTCCAAATTTAATTTTTCATTTGATAAAGCAATTCTCAGCATATCTACTACATCATTAGAAAAATCTCCTGGTAATGACGATACAAGTTTAATAGATATTTTCCAAACATTATGTTTCACTATAGAATTTAAGTTTCTATTAAGAAAGTGAGCAGCTTTAACAATAATAATAAGCAAATAAAACTCCATTCGCGTATACCACGATCGTTCTAAATTCCAACTAGTTGATTCTAGTTTTTGAATATATTTTATAAATTCTGGTTGATTGAATATTGTCCAAAGACCTGTTTCAAAGGACTCACGGTAGAACATATCAAGTATTATTGCTAGGAAAGGAATACAAGAATTCTGAGATACGATTGGTTGTAATTGATCTTCCTCTGTCCGTACTCCAAGACTTGGCAGACAGGATGGTTCTCGTTCAATAGAAGGTACACAAGTACTTAATAAATTTGAAGTAGAACTGTTTAAAATTTCAATATATAATTATTAACATTAAAAATATTTGTAAATTTAATATTAATACATAATAAAGCAAAACATACCATAATGTAGAAAATATATTTGAATTTGACATCCAATTTGTTTCCAAAGCATTTAGATTATTAACAGACAGCAATGTTTGTGAAATCAATTTTAAAATACACCACTATAAAATTATAATAATTATATTAGAGTGAGTCGTATCTTACTTCATGTGCTTTGTATAAACTTACTGTTGGAGATGATAATGATGATAATTGTCTACTCCACTTTGATAACAGTACGGAGATATTTTCCTTGAATGAATTTAAAGTACTAATTACAGCTATGAGTACAGTTGCATATTCACAAGCTAGATCTCCAGCTTTTCCAATATCATGATTACATAATAAAAGTTGTAACTGAGATATAAGTGTTAATTGAGCTCCTTCAATACTGTCCATTGCTACTTTGTGATGTAACAACAATTTCCAAAGACGTAAGCTTTCAATATTTATTTTAATTCCTTCCTTTCTAAAAAATAAAAAATTGTATTAATACCAAAAAATATTATATTAAAACGGTATAACCTTACCCTGCTTCACTGGAAACATATGATAGAATAGAATGAATGATTTTCAACTGAACTAATTTTTCAGCCACTATTCTTCCACCGTAACAAACTAAGATTCGACATAAACGTATGCTAGCAATTATTGGGATACCATAAGCATTATTTATTGTATCATATGTAGCTAAAGCAAAAATTTATTTATTAATTACAATATTAAAACTTATAAACATATATTAATTCTATTCATTATTTGCATATTTTTATATACTCACTTAACTGATTGACAGATAAAGGTATAAAATTACAAATGATAGTATTCAACAAATTTGGAGTACTTGCAATGTTCAATGCAACTATATGTGAATGTCTTGCAAGACGAGTCAATATTTCCAAAGCACATATCACACCAACAGGTGGAGGATGCATTTCACTTAAAATATATCTACAATAATTTTGTATTGATACAATATGTTAAAATAATCAAAAATATAAATATTATACAACCTAATTCTTAAAAGAATATCTGATCTTAGAAGTGCAGAAACAGCATCTAATTGTACGAGCTCATGGTCTTTCAAAGTACTCTCATCTTTAATATCTGAAGGTGGAGGTTTCAAAGTAGGTTCTATGTATTTGTCCCAACCAAACATTCTGTCCAAACAGATTTCATCTGCTTCACTAAATACAAATGCTCTCAATACCTGCAAAGTTGCTGTAACTACAGCTACAGATGTATCATCCAATGAAAATCTTAGTAAGAGTAGGACATTATTTTGACTCAATGCATTTAGTGGTGCTGGTTGCAGAACTTTATCATACCACCCTTTTCGACTTTTTTCTAAGATATTAGCTAAAGTAGTGAGAGCAGTGCAACGTTGTTGTTGCGTAGAAGATCTACTTAATTGTAACAATTCTTGTAAAGAATAACCAGGACGTTCTGGTTCTTCACCATGATGATGAAGACCTTTATCTACTGATAAATTCTCATCTTTATATGGAAGTAATACACCTATACGAGAAATATAAGAAATATAAATATAAAAGCAATCTTTTAATTATATTTATAGTAAATTTACCATTAAAATCAAACCGAGCATTGTATGGTTCATCAGGGGCAGGTTTATGTTCTTTTTTTTCTGGTATATCTTGCATCCACTGCAATTTTGCAGGTTCTATAGTATCTAAATGGACCCAACCTTTTTCTTTAGCTTCCTTTAGTATTTCTACACAAGGCTTTGGTACAGTTTCTATACTACTTGCACATTGCATAGCTTGATTTTGATCTTGATCGTAGCATAAAGAATCACTTTCTTTATTTTTTATGCATTCTTTACTATCAAGTTTACATGACTGAAAATCTGGTTTATCTACTTCTGTCTTGTTTTTATCTTTTTTCCTATTTTTAAGAAATTTTATTAATTCTGCATTAAGAGATGATTTAAGCATCTCCTTTTCTTTCAATATTTCTTCTTCAGTCATTTCATTTAATTTTTTTAAATTTTCTTGATGAATCTCTTCGATAAATGAATCTTTCATAGCATTAGAATTTTCATTTTTTGTTGCATCAGATTCTTCTCGACATTTCATTTTAATAGGAAGGGTTACATTTTCTTTTTTTGAAATCTTTTGTGAAAATAAACTCCGTTTATTAGATGTATTCTAAAATTTATATGCAATTCAAAAATTAGTATATCAAAGTAATATAATATCATATAAATAATATTTATATAAATACCATATAATTATCAGATACAAAGACTTTTGGAAAGCCAATTTCTGAATTAATATTAAATACTTTTTCATCAAAGCTAAACTTCTGTTCTTTCATATCGAATTTTCTTTCGATAATATTTCCAAGTATTATATTTGACGGGTCTATTGGTATACTTTGTACTAAATCATGAATTTCTGCAGACGAATTTGCAGTTATTTCTTCTTTTACATTTGTATTTAATACTTCTCCTATGCTTTGAGATGTAAAAATCTTTTCTGTCTTTTGTTTTTTCAGTTCTGAAAATCTAGATTGTATTCTACTCGAATTAGCTTTATACTTTGACGCAGACGTTTGCATAGAATTAGCTTGTTCTTTAATTTGATCTCGTAAATTTATCACCTTGGCTGATGGTTGCAACCTATTTTTTAAAAAATCTTCCTGCATTCGAAATAATTCTTCTTCGTCGTCTCCAGGTTTGGGTCGTTTTAATGTAATCATGTTATCCATTTTTAATTTTTACAAGATACTATCGTTTAATGATAATAAAAATTATAAATAATGCAAAAATATTTTTGTTTTTTAATATATTTTTATATTTTTCATAACGTAATCCTATACTCCCATTAATGCTTTATTCCTTACACTCGTTATATGACTTCGAAACATCAACTTAGTAAACACATTGTTTCTAACCTATTATTTAGTTTCTAATCTATTATGGCTCTCTATCACGTGACGCCAGTTACCAATCAGCATGCAATTTCGTCTAGCCAATCCTGTTTCAGTATTAACCAATTCGCACGAAGCGTGTACAACTTCAGCGACAGGTATAGACAAAATATGAACTACAAGTGTGAAACTCTGTCTCCATAGACGTATCAGTCTATAAGCTGAATAAATTATGAAATTATGAATAAATTATACTTTACTTGCGCGTAACATAATTATCGGATTAATGTGAGTTAGAATAGAAACTGTTAGTAGGTTCGAACTCAAATTTTTCATTTTCCTACATTTAATTGCAATTTTCATATCTTCTAACATAATGATATGATTGCCATCAACAAAGTGTACATTTTGTCTTCAGTTATATGGAAATAATAATATTTTATAGTATTATAAATTATTGTTATTTTCATGATCTATACGAAGTTTTAAAACTTACATTCTGCAATTTATAATCATACGGGACATTTAGTATAGAGGGCAACAATGGTTTGAATAATGTGATTTGAGTTCTTATATATGGTAATGATTCTGGATTATATTGCTATGGCTTCTTGCAATTTCACATAAAATGAGAGAATAGCGTTTTTTGATTTTCTTTTAAAAATAATTCCCTGTGTTTAAAGGATAGAACATTAAAAAATGCCTTTATTTTTTCATCTCACATATTGTATTTTCTTAATTAAAGTTCAAGCTGCTAACTAATGTTGGAAAATTAGAATAAGAATTACGAAAAATGTTAAAGAAAAGACGTCTTTCAAGAAAATAACAACCGATCTCTGCAGTATTAATAGCTGTAAATGCATTTAATATACCGAGTAACATATTGCCTTCAAGTTCTTCTTTCAATTATTAATGTAGTTGTTGCTATATAAATATTTTCAAATACTGCAACTAAATCAACATCTCCAATCACTCCCTATTGTATAGCTAATCTAGACAAACCTACTCTTTTCTCATATATTCTTTCCATAATGGAATTAGCCATACCATAATTTGTTTGTCCGGCATTTCCTCTTCCGCACGAGACAGAAGAAAAAACTACGAAGTGTCGAAGATCTGGACAAAGTTTTCTGGTCACCTCGTCCAAACATTTCGAAGCCCATGCTTTACCTTTGAAAGATTCTTTAAAAGTTTGCAGCGTTTGGTTTCTACAAATATTATCTTTCAGAGAAACTGCAAGATTGAATATACCATCAACTGGACCTTGATCTATCGCTTTTTTCACGATAAGCTCGCAATCTTCTTGTTTAGCCGCATCGAGACCAACCAGAATCTTGATATTCACGCCGTTTGATTCCCATATTTTGATTCTCATGGATTGATAACCATTCTTTATGCCGTTCCGCGAAATAATGACAATATTTTGAGCATTTCGATGAACCAACCAATTGATTAATTCCAAACCAAAACCTCCCAATCCACCAAGAACTATATAACTTTTATTCGGAATACATGTATAAAAAGGTTCAGCCAAAATGGGTGTATTTAGTGGTTCATTCTCTTGACGGATCTTTATGAGTACCTACGATATAAAAACATATTGCAAATTATAATTTAAACTGTTAAAATCAAAATATATATTCCGGCAACAAACGTCAACTTACTTTTCCCATATGCTTTCCAGCTGCCATAAATCTAAGTGCTGTCTCTATTTGATCTTTGCCGAAAACTGTCCTAATAATCGGTTTGATAGCATTCTCTTTAATAAGTTTGTTGAATATTGAACTAATTTCGTTTTTAATTTCGTCATTTGTGTTAATAACCTTATCTAACATCACACCATGAAAACTAATACCCTTCATAAAGATTTTGGTGCTTAATTCATTATTTGCGGCTAAATCAAATTTTCCAATTTCTAAAAATCTACCTCTATAGGCTAAACAACGTAGACTCGCTTGAAGTTTATCTTCCGCTAAAGAATTTAGAACAATGTCTACACCTGCACCATTGGTTTGTTGCAAAACCATTTTCTCAAAACTAATATCTCGAGAATTTCCAATGTGATTATCATCGATACTAGAAAATGTTTCTTTATTGAATTTATAATGTCTTAAAGGAGAAAGGAGTATATCTGCCGAGATATCAACCTGACATTTCCTCGGTGTGACATTTCCTTTTTGTCGCGATAAACAGTGAATTTATGTTCTGGATCTCTGATAGATCTTTTTCGAGCAATCGCAATTACTCTAATTTAATGTATTTCATTAAATTAGAAATTTTTCAAACCAACGCTGCACTTTTCGATCGTTTACAGTATTCTCCCCAAACGCCTGGTTTATATTGCGTGCAGCTTTTGCATCATTATTACCAAGTTTATACTCACATAAGAAAATTATACGAATATCGGTTGAATTCATATCGGTGCAAAATTCAAAGCAAATAACAAAAGGAAACACTTTTGAGAAAATTTTCTTTGCTAAAATGTGACTCTGGCAATGGACAGTACGACTATAAACCAGGTTATGTCAAAAACAAAAACATAACAAAAACAGGGAGACAAACGTTCACATTTAAAGAAAATCCGACATTTCATACGCACCGACCTAATACTTAGATGTGTTAAGATCTGCTCCTACTTCGTTAATTCCGATTCGTCTAGCATTTCATTAACATTATATATAATGTTTTATAAGCTTGATTAAATCATTAATAGTTTATTAATTCTATTTTATATCATCAGAATCAATCATACGGAAGTCACTATCAGTGTGTATTAGTTTTATTACTTTTATTTTTATTAGTTTTCTTTCATTATATTTTCCTTATTTCCCTGACTCATGGAAACTGGCAGAAATAATAATGTTGCATAAGCCAAATAAATATTACCGATTCTATCCAAACTTTTAGAAAAAGTAATATTAGTCAGAATTTAAAAAATAATTAATAAAAAACGATTAATACTAAATCAGCAATTTGGCTTTAGAGAGAAACATGCTACAACTGAACAGGTCCACAGATTAATTAATCAAACAACAATTGCTATAGAAAATAAGAAATATTGTACATGTCTATTCTTAGACGTAGAAAAAGCTACTGACAAGGTATGGCATGAAGGCTTATTGAAAACTATAAAACAACACTTCTCATTACCAATTTATCTATTACTTAAATCATATCTAAACAATAGAACCTTTAACGTAAAAGATTCGCACTCAGCTGTACACGTAATATTTGCCGGTGTACCATAAGGAAGTGGGTCCGGTCCTCTATATGCTCTACACTATGGATATCCCGACAACGCAAGACACTATATTAAGTACATTCGGCGACGATATTGTAATCTTAGCCACTCACGAAAATCCACAAGAAACAGCTATAATTTTGCAAAATCACATAAAATTGCTTGAACAATGGTTAATAGATCGCAAAATTAAAGTTAACTACAATAAATGCAATCACATTACATTCACTTTTCGCAAAGGCAAAGTACCAGCAATCACTATACACAATAATGAAATACCGCAAACAAAATCAATCAAATATCTGGGTTTGCACTTTGACTCTAAATTAATCTGGAAATAACACATTCATAAAAAAAAATACTACAAATTAAACTTAAAAGAAAAGACATTTACTGGTTAACAGGCCGAAAATCTAAACTAAGTATAGAAAATAAGTTACTAATATATAAAACAATAATAAAAAGATGCTATCAATAATAATCCGCACAATTGTGGACGCGCCATGGTATGTTAAAAACGAGGACATACGTAAAGATTTACAAATCCCATCAGTATCAAAGGAGATACTGCGGATGTCTGACAAATACAAATCAAGGACCCTAAACCATCCCAACCAGTTAACCAACGCTCTCTACAACAACAATACAGCAAGAAGACTTAAAAAAGGTCTCAAGATCTAGTTACGCAAGTCTGAAACAACAGGATTATTGTAAATTCCACTAGGAATACCACTCACGTGATACCCTCAATTCAGTAAAACAACTCGCCGAATGTCTCACGTGACAAATTACGGAGAAATTCCTGGGAGTTATAAAAAAAAATTTTCTTAAAAATTTTCTTAAAAATATTGCAGTATCCTCAAATGATTCATCATTAATAGTCATTGAAATTTTCAGAAAACCTAACATCATAGCATAGTTATCGTACATCCATTTTAACTTCAGATATCTGAAAATAACAGCAAATTATTGTAAATTAAAACAATGAGTCCTTTTTTACGGTACTGTTGTTTTCTTCCAAAAAATTGATTGATGCATCCAATCACGTTTCCTAGTATTTAATACTAAATCTATTCAAATAAAAAGAGCATACAACTGAAATTGATCTTTGAACTACCTGTTTCTCTATACATGTTCGGTGATAAGTCGACACTATTCAGTGATAGAGAAGTCAAATTTGGTAATAGTAATCATATTATTATTAATTATTGAATCATCGGATTCACTATCTTAAATCTTACAAAGTATATTGTTACAGAGTGGCTTAGAGGAATTTAGAGTAAACTCGAAGCGGATATATTTAATTGTATTGTTATCCTAACACGATTGTTGATGCACACATACATATCTCCATTGTTTACGGTACTTTCTCTTAAGGGTCATATATCACCATTGGAAATATTTACCCTTGGGAACCTATTGGATATTAACTAACAAAACGCATAGATAAAAAACACATGGCCAGCTTTGTCTTGGCTTAGGCATTCTTAGTAAAGTATTTGGATTTCGATAATATGTCAATCCGGTCCATAAGTAAATAGTGAAAGTAGACGCCTAGGCTAGATAAGCCAAGGGTTATATGGCTTCTAGCTTTGAAATATCCATTGACACCCTCTAGCCACACGATCATTAGAACAAGGAGGGCACACATGGAATGTTTAAACATTCCAATGAACTATTCCCGACCAATAGGCATTTATTCTTTCCCTTTTCATGCTCAGATCATACTTCAACTCCGCCCTTTTTATTCCCTTTTCCAATCTCATTACAGTCTGCGTGGATAGTTCTAAAGACACCAAAAAGACAGTCAAGTTACATCTTTCAAACTCACATCTAAGCTCTCAAGTCTCTTTCAGAAACATCCAGTACACATCATTACGCATAAACAATTATAACTTATTTCATCAAATGTATGGTGATAATTTCAACGCGCGCAATATTTAATATCGCGCATCTACCTCGCGAATCTCACGGGATCCTTTAAAAGAACGCTCGTTCTCCCATTAATTTGCGGAAACGCGGCGAACGGTATTTTGCCGACGGTCTACAACAGTATCCTAGCCTAGTACCGCCGCCCTTATTCATCGTGACCAGTGAGTTTATAGCTCGGACAACAAGGGAAATATTCTCTGTGCAGATTGACTATCATCACTGATCCGGTGCGAGACGCGTATCTAGAAACGCTCTTATAGTTGCGCCCACACAACGCAACAATGACAATTATACATAAATAAAAATACAACAATAAATTTAATCTCAAATATAACGGATGTTATTATGTATCGATGATTACTGCAGGACGGTTCACAAACCGTGAAGCTGTGATGAGCAGTTTGAGTATTAAAATAAGCATTGACTTCTCGTTATAGATCGTTTTTAGTTGCCGTATTATCCCTAATCGTAATCTACTGAAACTCTCCCTTCTCTTCCAGCTCGTAAGTTTAAATCGATCAATGTGCAGATGGTTGATAGAGCGCGAAATATGACAAAGTATAGTAATAGTCTATACACATTATGATACATATGTGCATTTATGTGGGTTGGAAGGTTCTAAGCTAATTAACTGTGTGCGTGTGTATTTATGAGATAAGATTATTTATAATTAGATAATGGATGGAAGGTTCAAGAGTTAGTTAACTGTTGTATATCTGCATGAAATAAGTGTGTGCGTGTGTGTATAAAACAAATTGATCGGCGTTGAATAGAGTGTGGTCTGTCCTTTGTGAGTTATGTTTTTATGAAAGAAAGAGGAGTGGCTGAGATATAGACGATAGGCGATAGAGAGAGAAAGAGAGAGAGAGAGAGAGAGAGAGAGAGAGAGAGAGAGAGAAATACAGCATAAGCAAGACAGGACAAAGACCGATAAGAATTGCCGAATGCGTATGCACGAATTTGAGTGGGGATGAGAAAGACTATGGGGTGTACGTGATCGAAAAAAAACACAACGGAGGGATAGTCTTGAGTAGACTCAGCGAGGAATAACAACGAAAGTCCTGAGTAGAGTAGGCCAGACCAACAAAAAGAAAAAAATCAAAGTATATCATGTACAGTCGTGAGTGGACCAACAAAGAGTAACGAGAAAAGTAACAAGTAGGTCAGAGATAGAAAAAAGAATTGTAGTATCTTAAGTTGTAATACCTTAACCATAATAATGAAGTATGTATAAACCAAAAATAATCTGAGTTAGTCAGTCCATATCTTATATGTAGTATTATGATAAATATCTTACATTTATGTGTGTATATATATATATACATAAAAGTTGAGATCGAAAAAATGCTGAAAATATTATGGCAACGGCAGTAATATTTGTTCATTACAAATATGCACGACGATTCTGTCAATAAAAGATGGTGGGAATAATAATTTCTATAGTAAAATTAAAACACGCTATTTGGAGATTAAAGCACTAACAAATTTATTAATTTAATTTATTCTGAAAAATTGAAAACAATTCTAGTGTTATATTATTAAAATATAGTATTTTTTTATGAAAATATCAAAATTATGCCTTCTGTATGACCGCAGCGCATCTAAAACCCGAAAAGTTTCATTAGACTGGTTAATGTTATTAGTAGAATATTTCGAGGAGTTGTGTAAACAATACGTGAGATTATTATAATAAATATGGAGCACTGGATATTTTACTTTAACGCACGAATGACGAATATATTGGTCGATGCACGGATAGTTCGCCAGAACAGCACTATTCGTGGTTTTATTGGCACTATTTTTCGTCAATACTTAATATCTTTTTGTAATTCTTCATTTCAGATAGATACACTTATTAACAGTAAAATACAAAAAAAAAAGTATAATTCTTCATATCAGTATGATTGTGACTACAGTTTACTAATACCTGAT